ACAGACCACCCATCAGCCCATTCCCCTTCAGTTACCCAAGAGAAGCCAGGACGTCTGTCCACGTAAATACTGGTACATGAATGTTCAAGATGGCTTTATTCCTCATAGCTAGAAAGTAGAAATAACCCAAACGCTCATCAGCAGATGGACAGGGTAACAAAGACTGTTATATCCATGTGACTGAATACTACTCGTAGCAGAAAGGAACGAGTTCCGGGTACAGGTGACAACGTGGATGAATCTCTAAAACGTTGTGGTGAATGAAAGAAGCCAAACACAAGGAAGTGACCCTGTCTGTGAGAACTTCTCCAGGACACGGGACTCAGTGATGATCGTGGCACAACCAGCACCACCCCTGCAGATGGCTGGTTTGGGGCGGGGGGAGTGGAGGTGACTGGGAAGCACAGCGGGGAGCTTTCTGGGATGATGGAAGTGTTCTGTCTTGACTGGACTGGTGGTTACACTGTGATGTGCAGTGGTCAGAACTCATTCAGCAGTAGACTTTAAATGGCGTATTTATGGTCTGTAAATTATGCCTCAATTAAAGTAAACGTGAAAAACTTCACTGGGTATTTCTTAAAGTAGCCTGTTGTCACTTCATTTTGTTAACTTATTACCACTATGGATGTTTTTGAAACTTTGTATCTGAAATGGATTAGAATATATGCATATCAATTTTTTTAAGTGGCTAATCTTAAATTTAGGAACGTAAAAATTAGAAAATCATGTGTTCTTTTATTATAAGTGTTGTGAAATTATATATATGTGTGTATATATATATTTAAACAGTAAATTTTATTATCTTACATAGTTTCTAGGGGTCAGGAAATCAGGGCTTGGCTGCGTGGTTCAGGGTCTCTCATGACGTTGTAATCAAGATGTTGGCCAGGATCACAGTCATCCAGGGCTTGACTGGGCTGGAGGATCTGTTTCCAAGCTCGTGAAATAATATTTTTATGAGGAATTTCTGTAAAGTCAATAATAATGTACAATAATGTAAAGAGGGTTTAGCTTCTCATTTGGATTCATTGTTTTGGGGTAGGAGGTTTTAAGAGGCACTTTTTATTTTCAGACCCACAGTTCTCATGATGAGTGGACCCAGGGTAGCTGAGTGTGGTGCTGTGAAATGTTCTGCTTTTCTGAGCTTCTCACAGGCTTTCCAGGATGGGTGCCAGGCTGAACAACACACTTTTACAGGAGTGCATGGTGATGCTTCAAGTCCTTGCTGCTACGCTGGAAAAATGCTCTTTGTATTTCACATGAGACTCTTAAGTATGGAGAGCTGAGCTCAGGCTCTGCTCCTCATAGTTGAATTTGATGGGTAACTTAATTGCTTCCCGTGTGAGGTTCTTATCCCATTCAGCAGAATCGAGGTTCATTGAAAACAGGGAGAAACTGCGTTTTACTTTCCTATTACTTACAGTATCTGGGATTATATCTGGCATATCGAGGGTAAACGAATTACCATGGTATCAAATGTGTATAGTACTTAAAAAAAAAAAAAAGCCCCAGTTCTCCTGACCCCTTCACAGTCACCCTGTCGTGTAAATAGAGAATACCTGGTGCTGGTCCCCCCTCTGTCTCTGACTCCTGCTGGGGTCTTGAGCACATGGCTTAGTTTCTTCTTTTACGAAGCTCCTTTACTACTGCTGCTTATAGCCTTTCCAGGCAGACAGGAGTTAGGGGACATCGTCAGAAGGGAGGTGATGGGGCCTGAGGAAATGTGGGTTCACGAGGTGTGGGGAAAGATCTGGGGAGGGAGATAAAATGGTGAGGAGCATGTCGACTCCCCGAAGGAAGACAGGATGAAAAGAAGTCTGGACTTTTCAGTTTGAGAAGATGCTGTCTCTGTAGGTGTGTGATCAGGGTGTGGTGGAAGGATGAGGAAATATTGATTAACTTATAAATTCATTCAAGAAATGTTAATCATTGATCGGAGCCTGTGGCCATGCACTGGGCTGGGCGCTGTGGGTGTTGGATGCACTGGGACCTGTGGAGAGTCTCTCATTAGCCAGGGCACGCCAGCACAAGTTTTCTGTCAGGTGAGAGTTTTGTATATATTGCAATACAAGTGTTGTAAGTTAGAGGTATAATGTCCCTTAATTCATTGTTCCCTCAAGTAGATTTGCAGACGCTTGGAGAAAGCGGCGGATGATATGCCCAGATAAGTGAAGGCCGGGGGCAAGAGGCTTCTGATCTTCTCTGAGCTTGTTGGGGGTAGGGGTGGGTGGGGAGTCCGTTATACCTGGGCTGGGGTGGGCTCTGTTTGTTGTGGGAGATGGGTGACATCAGTGTCAGGCTGGAGAGTGAACCCGCGTTCATTGGGAACATAAATACCAGCCCTGGAATTCAGAATCCAGGTAGAATGTTGGCGGGAGAGGGGACCCTGAGCCCTGGGGCCCCAGGCAGCAGTCCAACTGGGAGGATGGTGCAGCAGGTGCAAGGCTGGGGAGCTGTTTCCTTTCTCTGGGCCTGTATTTTAGAAGCCTGTTGGGCTGTGACCGAGAGAACTTTTCCACTAGTTTTACTAGTCGTGGAAGTGACTTGTCCTCCCTGTGACCTGGAGTTGAACTCATCAGATAACTACCATAATGAGGGACCTCGATGTGCCCATGTGAACAGGATTTGATTTCTTCTTATTAGATGCAATGAGAAGAAATAAGCAAGGAATTAGGTCATTGGTTTGTCTGAATAAATTGAGTTCATATGGAGAGCTTTAAATTGTTCCTATGGGTTTTAGTTTACAAGGAGAGAATGCATACTGATAGGCCTGTCATAAAGGGATAGAATTTACATCAAAGGTTTTTGTTTTCTTAAAAAACTCTGAAAAGGTGCTTTCTTCTAAATTTTCACATTGAACAAATTAGGGAATATGTACTAAAGTGTAAAATGTTGCATATCTGTTGACTTACAAATTTATGGTGGCTTGTGTTTTTATAACCCGTTTAAAATACAGTTAAATTACACAGGTGTGTTCACTTTGAAATAATTCACTGAGCTGAACACTATGATTTATACAGTTTGTGATATCTGTGTCAATAAACTTTTATTAAATTACAATATATATGAGTATATACATAAGATATAATACCTGAATTATGACAACAGAGTATATCTTAGTCTTATAGTTAGAAATACACATATGACACAACACATAAAAAGAGCTCTCTCTTGTTCACGAGTATGAATATCAGAATATCAAACAGTTAAACTTCTCCTCTGTCCTCTTTTCATTGTTATTCTAAGCCATTGGTGTGGAGGGGAGACCAAAGAGACAGGTTTTTGTTTTTTCTTCAAGTTGTAAAATTATGAAATTAATGTGAATTGAAAGATTTGTTGCATGAACTTCGTTTATCTCTGGTGAAAAATATGTTTAAGGAGTAAAGTTCTGAAAGTTTTAAAAATACCTTTTGTTGTGGTGATTGGAAAATCTCAATAGGTAGAAATTAGAATCCTTTATTAGTATTAAAGCAGAAATTTGGGGCATTGTGACAGTCCTGCCGGGCACTTCTGGAGAACCAACCAATCTCTTTTCAAATGAAGTTTCTGTAACTTGGCAGTTTACAATATCTAGTTTTGAAAAGGGGCTTGCTCCATATTACCTTCTCGGGATGTTAGATAAACGTGGTCCAGTTAAGACCGGTGAACAGATCCTGATTCCATTTTCCAAGAGTCCAGAATGGGCTTGAACACCACACGATTTGGGGAGGACTGGAGCCAGAGGAACAGGGGTGGGTACCCCTGTGAAGAATTACAAGAGGGCGCAAGGGAGGTAGGAGGGACTCTGAGACTGAACTTGAGCCTAGAGGTAGAAAGTGGAGCTCTGAGGAGGGGCTGTGCACCTGTGTGGTTAGCACAGCCGGGCTGGAGGAGGTGGGAGGAAGACAGACGTGGCTAGAATTGCAGCTCTGTCCCTTTGTCAGCTCTGTGCCCTTAGCCACGTCCCTTCACCTTTCTCCTGGGATTCCTGCCCATTGTGGGGCTCATCTGCCTGACACAGAGGTTTGTTATGAAGATTGTGTGATACAGTGCATGTGTCACGTCTAGCGTAGTAGCGCATGCTTAGTAAAGACTGTGCTGTATGAGATGGTCAACGGTAAGCCTCTGCATCCTGCTCTGTCCGTGCAAACTGCCTGACCTGTGGCACAGTTTGAACTCTCTGCTTCATTTTCTCATCTGTAGACCGGGGATATAATGATACCTACCTGAGAGTGTCATTTTGAGGCTTAAATGAGTTCATAAATGGAAAGTAATTACTTCAGTGCAAGGTTCATGATGAACATAATAAAAATGCTTGATGTAATTATGTATCATTAACAGAGAATGGGGACATGCTTTCCAATTCCATTGGTTGCCACTCCTCCAGACGTGTTACCTTTTTGTATTTATTTCACATAGATTAGATAATTCTCTGTCAATAATGGGTCAGTCTTTGGTGTAGGCCATACCTATGGTGTTTTTAATGAGATATTTGTATATTAGAATCTTCTATGTATTTCAGCTTCTTGAGACCAGGTGGCAGTGAAATGACATTTGTCCTTAAGGTGTCACCTACACATTTTTTTTTTTTTTTTTTTTTGCGGTACGCGGGCCTCTCACTGTTGTGGCCTCTCCCGTTGCGGAGCGCAGGCTCAGTGGCCATGGCTCACAGGCCCAGCCGCTCCGCGGCATGTGGGATCTTCCCGGACCAGGGCACGAACCCATGTCCCCTGCATCGGCAGGCGGACTCTCAACCACTGCGCCACCAGGGAAGCCCTACACATTTATTTTTTACGTTGTTTATCCTTAAACATTTGACATCCCAGTTTACTCAAATAAATTTAATAGAAGCAGTCAGCAATTAGGAGGAAAAGTTCTTATGAGAAAGTAAACTTATTTATCTTCTCTTAGCTTCTAGGGAACCTATTTAGAAATCTTGATGTGTGTGCATTTTGACACTAGAGAAAATGATTATGCAGATAAACATACATTCCAGTCTGAGTTTGTTTTGTTCCCTGCAGATTGGAAATCCACGTGTCGAACTTACCCTCTCAGAACTCCAAGATATGGCAGCTAGGCAACAACAGCAAATTGAAAACCAGCAGCAAATGTTGGTTGCCAAGGTAAGTTATTAAAGCAGCGGTGGGGAAATGTTCAACAAGTGTGTCCTTCGGCATTACTTTAGATTACCTGGCTAACCCCTGCAAGTAGGACCATGCCGCCACAATGTTAAACACAATATCTTTCTTAATTATCTCTTCTGTAATCATAAGTGCATACTGTAGCTTCTTGAAGTTGGGAAAGTATCAGAACAAGAGCATCTGACCCTTGACTTGCACACACAACCCCCCGGGACAGGAAACAGTTGGCCTTACCCAATTGTAGATAAAATTGGGAAAGAAAGGATGCTTTCCATTGTCCCCTCCTTTTCCCTCTGGATGTGTTCTCGGCTGATGTAGTTGGCATTAGTGTTCTAGAGGAAGCCAATGACCTGTGATAAGACACTGGCCCTGGGCCCCCAAGACAGTGGCTTCCCTTTATCCCACCCTACAAGGGATTTGTTTGGTTTATTTTGGTGCACGGCATCATCAGCACTCATTACTTACACTGAGTACTAGATTTGTTGTTGGAACTCTGTCGTAGCATTTGAAACTGTTGCCGACCCGCAGTGAGGCCAAACAGACCAAAACAGAAATGTTGGAGTTTGGAAAAGAGAAAGGTTTATTGCAGGGCCAAGTGAGGAAAACGGGTGGCTCATGCTCAAAAAATTTGAATTCCCTGGTGGTTCTCAGGGAAGCATTTTTATAGGCAAAATTTAGGGGAGGGCTGCAGGGTGTGTGGCTTTCTTCTGATTCGTTGGTGGTGAGGGAACAGTCTGGTGTTCCGGAGTCTGTGCTCAGCGTGGAGTTAGCATCCTCCACCTGGGTGGGGGCCTTAGATCCTGCAGAAGAGCTCAAGGGTATATCGTTCTGTGTGTCCCTGGAGGAGGAGCCCAGGACCCTGTTGTTTCCTGACTGCTCCTGCTTGGTTCCTGCATTCTCTTACTTCCCTGGTTAGTAACTGAATCTGCCTTTTAGGGCTTAGGGAAGGCATAGGAGTCTGAAGCCTTTTCCCTACAAACCAGAAATGGGGGCGCAGAAAAGGCTTTTGTACCTGGGACGGCCCCACAGGATCCTGCTTGCTTTCAAAACTTTTCTAAATAATGGTTTAGTCTTGGACTAAAAAATCAGACCTGTCACCCATGCCTGCTGAAAATGATTTCATGTTCTAATGATCGTAAATGTTCTGAAACTGCTGTAGCGAGAACATGTTAACGCCACTACCTAGGTTTTTCATGCTTGCTCTGTAGAGAGATTTTCTTAAGAACCAAATGTCCAGTTCAATTTTTTATCATTTATTGAATGACCATGTGATTCTGTCCACTTTTATATAAATAATAGTTTAAGTTGGACTTGTTTTTAAAAGTTGTCTTACAAAGTTTATTGGATTTACAAGAATAAAGAACAATTAAAAGTAATTGGAAAGTATTTTCATTCCATTTCTAAGATGAAATGTACGTGGTATTATGTCATTATAAAATTTTCTAATTCTACTTTTTATTTTCTTTCCAAATATTGATCCAAGAGTATTGCTATTTTTAAAAAATCTTAGATATTTTCAGCAGTGTAATTCACAAGTTAATGCTGATCTTTCCATATTGAAGCACATATTCCCTTCCCTTAGTGTGCAGTGTGTAACGCCTACACAGTCACACTTAAGCCTCTTCTTAAGTATGTTTTATGCATACAGATGGGACCATGAATAATATTGACTGTTACCCTTAAGGTGTGCTTTCACATGAGTAGGGAAAAAAACTATTGAAGAGTATCGCATATATTTTTACTGTAGGACTGTCCTGTTCTTGTCTGACTATAAAATGTTTGATTACTTTTGAAGGAACTAATCCTAAAGAAAACAAACCCTTCCTCAAAGGTTCCTGTCACTTAGCAGATTAGAGGTTCATCTCCTTACTGCTCACCTTATCTCTTTTCAATATAAAATCCTCTGCTACTCAGTGCTCATTTCCTTTAGGAGGTTAATATAAGGGACCCTTGAAAGCCGCTTTGTAGCAGCAGGAAACCTGGTACTGGCGGCAGGAAGCTTAGGCTGCTGGGGCTTCACACACAGGATGGAGGTGAAAGCGTGGCTGGCATTTCTGTAACATTCATTAAGATAGGAGATACTGAGGGATCCACTTAAACTTTTTTTAGTGTACAAAAGTTACTGTATGTTTCAGTTTTCAAAGTTAGCTATTTTCCTCTCTCAATAGGAACAGCGTTTACATTTTCTAAAGCAACAGGAGCACCGTCAGCAGCAGTCTATTTCTGAAAATGAAAAGCTTCAGAAATTGAAAGAAAGAGTTGAAGCCCAGGAAAATAAACTGAAGAAGATCCGTGCCATGAGAGGACAAGTAGACTACAGCAAAATCATGAATGGCAATCTGTGTACGTGCCGCGGCCCACTGGCACCCACACTCAGCAGGCGTAGATGACGTGAGACAGAGGCCAGCTTCCAGATGCTCTCAGTCACAAGCTGATGTCAGATCTTGCTGTAGAAAAGCACTAAAGCTTTGCTCTGTCATCTGCATCTAACTGGATGGATTGGTTAGATTAAGAGATTTTAGAAAATCTTCTGCAGCTTTAGCAGTGTAGTAGAGAGATCCTTTTGTTACCTTGGTTGCAGCCGCCCTTTGGACTGGGGCTAGGGTACTCTTAAGACTCAACTCATCATGAGGGTCTGTTTTAATTGAACAGCATAAATTTTATCTGTGTATTAAGATAAAGCATACAAATGCTCACTTTTTATTTCTGTGTGCGTGGATTGTTACTTCATCAGTCAATTCTGTTAGTACCTACTTTATGTTACAGAATAAGCAAGATAGATTTGGATGGTCCTGCCCTCACAGAGCCTTTGGTCTCTTTGGTGCCTTGAGATTCCTAAGTGGCTTGACCAAGATAGCTTTTGGACAGATTGCCCTAATTTAAAAATATTCAATAATTAGTGCAAATTAATTGTTTGTCATATGAGCGGTCACATTATGTGTTCCAAAGGCTTGTTGAAGTGTGTTTTGGATTATGGATATTACAACTTTCTCTCCAAGGTCTGGCACTAGATGATGCTAAAGTTGAGTTAAATGGATAGAAATGAAGAAATCACAAAATAAAAATAGCAAAATACTATGAAAAAAGGAATATCAACTAAATTATGTTTTTTTTTTTCCTAATTGGTGGGAAATTATAGCTGCCGAAATAGAAAGGTTCAGTGCCATGTTCCAGGAAAAGAAGCAAGAAGTACAGACTGCAATTTTAAGAGTTGATCAGCTCAGTCAGCAATTGGAAGATTTAAAGAAGGGAAAACTGAATGGGTTCCAGTCTTACAATGGCAAGCTGACAGGACCAGCAGCAGTGGAGCTGAAAAGACTGTACCAAGAGCTACAGGTAACTCACCTGGGTCTGAGGAATGATTCTATTAAAACTTCCTTATCTTTTGAGTTTTCTTTCAGTGTGGAAACCTCAGGAACTGGAAACAAATTAATGGATTCTAATTTAACAGTAGGCACAAAATGTATTCAGTACAAAATAATTTTTTAAACAGCTTTGAGACATAATTCACATAGCATACGATTCACCCATTTAAAGCATACAATTAAGTGGTTTTCAGTATCTTCACAGAGTTCTGTATACGCCACCACAGTTGATTTTAGAATATCTTCATCACCCCCAAAAGACACCTTTTAGCCATCACCCCACAACCCCCTATCCCTCTAGCCCTAAGCAACCATGACTCTACTTTCCATCGCTATGGATTTGCCTATTCCAGAAATTTCATATGAATGGAATCATGCAGTTGTAGTTCTTTGTGACTTGCTTCTTTCACTTAGCATGTTTTCGGTACAGAAATTTCAGTATGAATTTAATTGGCAATATGATGAACTGGTAAAGAATTAAGCTTTAGATAATACTTAAGGCCTCTGTGTAAACTGTGTTTTGACAAGATAGATGCTTATTTGTTAAATCCTTGTCTTAGTCAGCTTGGGCTGCCTTAAAGCAACAGACATTTATGTCTCACAGTTCTGGAGGCTGGAAGTCCAAGATCAGTTCATGGTGAGGGTCCACTTCCTGGCTGCCTTCTTGTTGTGTCCGCACATGCTCTGATCTCTCTTCCTCCTCTTATAAGGACACTAACCCCATCATGAAGGCCCAACCCTCACGACCTCATCTAAGCCTAATTACCTCCCAAGGGCCCCATCTCCAAATACTATCACATTGGGGATTAGGGCTTCCACATATGAATTTTGGGAGGACACAATCATAACAACCCTCAAGATTCCCATTTCTCAGAAACTGTCATTCAGCAGATGATTTTTAAAAAATATTTATTTATTTAGGCTGAGCCAGGTCTTAGTTGCGGCACGCAGGATCTTTAGTTGCGGCATGCAGACTCTTGGTTATGGCATGCAGGATCTAGTTCCCTGACCAGGGATTGAACCTGGGCCCCCTGCACTGGGAGTGCGGAGTCGTACCCACTGGACCACCAGGGAAGTCCCCAGCAGGTGATTTTTCAAGCCAGATACAAGTTTTGCAGTTATATTAGTACTTGCTAGAAAAAGTATTATATCATTTTACGAAATGCAGATTTTTAATTACAGAGAGTAAACTCACTTGTTGCCATTAAGTTCTGTAAATGCATAGAAACAAAGTGTTATAAAAATTTATTACTTTTTATGTTTTTAAGCAGTTGTTAAAAGTGCAGGGTTTTTCTTTTTTTTTTAACATCTTTATTGGAGTATAATTGCTTTACATTGTTGTGTTTCTGCTATATAACAAAGTGAATCAGCTATACGTATACATATGTCCTCATATCCCCTCCCTCATGCAAGTGCAGGGTTTTTTAAGGATTTTTTTTTGGTAAAGTGTGATGACTGTAGTACATTTATTTATATATATTTCCAATTTTTTGACTGCAATCTAGGTTATAAAGTACATGTTACCTCCTGTCTATACACATATGCCAGTATGTATGTGCTAGTACATGTGTGCATCTGAAAGAGTTTAGCAAGACAAGACTTAACCTTCTGTGTGCAGTGCACTCTGATGTTTTCTGTTCTCTATTTCATTTTTTAAAAGTGCTTGTTATAACCCATTAAAATGATATAAGAACATTCTGTTTGGTGATTTGGCCATCCTTGGGTTTCCTGCTGCCACATTCAATGGACTGTGTGGGGCAGAACAGATACCCCTCCTTATGTCACTGAACCCACCCACCCCCGTTCCCTAGGACCACAGGCATGGTGTCCCACAGTCATTACTGGTACTAGTCATTCCGTACGCTTTGAAGAAGACACATTTGCAGCTATTTGCTCTTTTTTTGTTCCCTAAGAAATAATGTTCCGGCTTCATCTGTGCTGTACCTGTAAAATATTTAGCATACAGGGGACGATGCCTGTATGTAAATACACATAAGGACTAAATGTTGCTTTTTTCTTCTTTTTTTAATCCCCCTAACAATGAGAACTTGACTATTTAGTTAATACAAATCATGAATGTTGTGTTTTCTATTTTGCAGATTCGTAATCAGCTCAACCAGGAGCAGAATTCAAAGCTCCAGCAGCAGAAGGAGCTCTTGAATAAGCGCAACATGGAGGTGGCCGTGATGGACAAGCGGATCAACGAACTGCGTGAACGTCTTTATGGGAAAAAAATTCAGGCATGTGAAAAAGAAAATATTTCTGTGAGATAAACTACTGAAAATGGCTCATCCCCAAAGTGTACCTCTTCACCGTAATGCCATTCTGCTCCCCCCATTTGCCATAGCTGATAAACATAAATTGGCCATAAACCATAAAAAGTGACAGTAGAAGAAAGTTCATGTTCCCAAAGACACAGTTGTTTCCTGGTGTATGTATGGATCAAAACCGCCCGGTGCGCAGCTCCTCACCATTCATTCTCCCCAGGCAGCTCTGTCTCCTTTCCACTGGGGGGAAGCTTTGGTGCTGGAGTTGCAGCAGCCATTTTAAGCTGTGCCATGTGCATAAATTCCTTGACCTTGTGTAGCCTCGTGTCCTTGCTGTGAACTGAGAATTCCTATAAGGATTCTGAGAAATAACCCATGTGGAAAGACTTTGTAAACTCTTGAGAAAAGTGCTATATAAGGAGTTAGGGCTTTTTAAAAATCTTTATTTGGTATTTTGAATTTCAAAGGTAGTAAATACTCATTGGAAGAAAGTTAAAACAGTGCAGAAATATTTAAAGGAAAATGTGGAAGTCCCTTCCATCCTTCTCATTCTCCAGGGATGATAGTTATTAATGGTTCCAGTCTTTTGCTTAATATAGAGAGAAAGGTATTCAATTTTTAATTGAAAATGGAATTGTAGGAATTATATCATTCACACTGTTCTGTACCTAGTCTTTTTTTTTTTTTTTTGAACTGCAATATGGGTATCTTTCCAGGTCATTATTACCTCATTCCTTTTGTAACTTCTGTGTAAAATTCCATGTTCCAGGGCCTGTGGTCATGTTACCCAGCCCTGTTGTTAGGCAGGGTGTCCCTGAGTCTTGCTGTTGCTGTCAGTGCTTCATGAGCGTATGCATCGCTGGGAGTTCGTGGGACTATAAGGGACTGCTGTGTGTGGTGTCTCTGGCTGGATGTAGCACTTGACCTTTCGTTCCACCAGTGGTGCTCAGTGTTTGAGGGGAGCAGTGCCTGAGTGGAGAGCTGATTGGCACTTTGCCCTCAGGAGTGGAAATGGAGCAGGCAGCCAGGTAGCTGGGACAGTGCTCCCAGAGTTCCTCTCTCCACACTCCAAAACCAGTGCTTTCACGGTTGACAGGTGTCCTCTTGTCAGCTCCTGCTGCTCTGAAGGTAGCTCTCAGGAGGCGAGGTGCAGGCTTCAGCAGCTTCGCCTGGTGGGATGGGTTAGGAGGACACGAGAGGCAGAAGGGTACTGCCACTTCTGTGGGCATTGTGATCAATGGTCTCAGGTGAAAAGTCTCTTATTTACAAATCCACACTTTTTTTTTCTTTTTAACCAGAGTGCTTAAAGGTCAATGGTTGATCTGTATGATGCCATGATTTCAGATAATGATTTCCTTGTTCTCTCAATTAACACACAGAGCATGGGAGAGGACGTGTGCCTGTGCTCCATGCTTGCTTACATTACAGTCTTAGTAGTGGTGGGTCAGGGGTCTCCGGAGAACAGAATCAGTTCTGTGTGTACATGTGTGTAGAGACTGATCAGCCGACTGACTGTAAGGAACTGCCTCATGCGGTTGTGGAGGCAGGCACACCCCAAATCTGCAGGGCTGGCTGGCAGCCTGAAACCCAGGGAGTTGTGGATGTTGCAGCATGAGTCTGAAGGCAGTCTAGAGGTGGAATTTCCTCTTCTGAGGACCTCAGTCTTTCTCTGTAAGCCCTTCAACTGATTGGATGCAGCCCACCCACATTATGGAGGGCAATCTGCTTTACTCAAAGTTTGTTGATTTAAATATTAAAAATACCGTTACAGCAACATCTAGACATGTTTGACCAAATATCTGGGTATCACAGCCTAGCCAAGTTGATAGGTAAAATTAACCGTCACAGATGGCTACATAAATATTACTTCTTATTCCATCTGATACTTCAGGGGATCTCCCTGAAGAAGTTGGTGCTTCTGCAGAGATGTGTCTCCAACCCAAAGGTTTTAGGCACCTTTGAACAATTGTCAAAATCATGAACGCTTTCTCCAAAATGACACATGCTCATGCATGCAGAATTTTGCAAACAATTGTAGGATGGGTATGGCTCTCTCAGAGCCTGTCTGGGGAACTCTAAGGGTCAGTGTTTCTCTAGTCAGATCCCTGTTTTGCAGGCTTTTGTTGTTGGGCAGTGTCACGTGACCAGTGTCATTGGCTGTGGCCTGGTGTCCTTGCTGAGAACAGCAGAGCTGCCTTCAGGGAACTGGTCAGAGTCTCACCTGGTTCCAGACCCTATTACTTTGTCCTACGTGGCTCATTCAGTCCTTACAACAACGCTTATCCCGAATTTTCGGACATGGGCACAGAGGCTCAGAGATGTTGCATCACTTGCCCAAGGCAGCCCAGCGAGTAAGTGGCAGAGCAGGATTTGAAGCCAGGCTCAGAGCCCAGGCTTGACGATGCCTCTGTGCCCACCCAGGGAAGGGAGTGCATCCCCAGGTGAGAGGGTTATGTACACAGAGGGGTCCTGAGGGGTTGCTCTGTTCCACACTCGGCTCCTGGTTTTATAACTCACAAAAAGGTAGGTGTTATCACAGAGCATCACTCATGTGGGACTGTGGGTTCAGGCCCTTTTTTGAAGTCTTGCCCTTTCTAGATACTGATCTTCTAGGGTGATGGAGCTTCGTACGCATGAACTGTTGAGTGATTGGCTCAGATCTGAGCAGTCGGTCACACTAGGCTTACAGTTACAAGAACTTAACTGAGGATAATCTTGACTCTGATTTCTTCCCATTTTATAGCTGAGCCGCGTGAATGGCACGTCGTCGCCACAGTCACCCCTGAGCACGCCTGGCAGGGTCGCTGCGGTGGGGCCTTACATCCAGGTTCCCAGCACCGGCAGCTATCCTGCCCCCGGAGACCCCATAAAGCCCCAGTCTCTCACTATCACCTCAAGTGCTGCCCACGGAAGATCCAAATCCGGTGAGTGGCCTGGGTCCTCTTTCGGGGGGAGAGTGAGCAGGAAGGGGGACTGTGGGGGGAACAGTGGCCTCAGAGAAGACTCCCACGTTGCACCCAGCCTCTGTGATGTGTCCTCCAAGGCACTTGGTCCTCTAGGGCAGCATTTGGGGAGCTGTGTGCCACCACAGTAATGATGATCCTAAAACAAGAACAGGTTCTCTTTTTTGGACTCAGTGTCCTTACTGTGTGGCTTCTCAAAACACAAATTAGTTAAGACCTGAGCCTCTCCCGCCACAGGTTTTGTTTGCCTGTGAGGGTGCTCGCTGGCGGCAGGGGACGCGTCACTGTAGCCTGGGCTGCCGCTCGTCCTCACGCTGCGGCCCAGGCAGAGGGCTGCCCCCACATCAGCAGAGCCTGTAGCTGCTCTGCCTTCCCTACCCAGCATGGTCTCTGTCCACCAGAGAGTCCACAAGCCACCCCTGTGGCTCTTGGCCACCCTGAATCGTGTGGTGTGACCGGACTCGGGGCCCCAGCGCCGAGCCGGTGCGTAGCTGTCCCGATGACATGGAGCCCCTGTGGCGCCCCCAGCTTCCTAGCCGAGCGCAGGCCCAGGTCTCCACGGAGACTCTGCACTGTGTGCTCAGAGGAAGACGGCTGTGCTTTAAACTGATGCATGAGATGCCAGGGCTCCTTGGCAGTTGAGACTTTGTATATGACAGGGCTGCCATGCTGGCCCATCACACACAGAATCACAGAGCACAGGTGACATGCCTAACAGCAGTAGTGCTGACTGGGTCAGGGCTACATTTTGAGGACGTTTTTCCAGGTTTGGTGGTAGATTTGTGTTGGTCTTTCGTTTGGTCGCTTTGAGTTCTCTTGCCTGGCACCTGGTCTGAGCAGCAACACCACTGCTGCCCCCGCTGGAGGACCCGGGGCTTGCTCTGACCCAGGTGGGAGGAGGTGTCCCCAGTCCTCGTGGGCCACGTGCCCGGCTCAGATCTCTTCGTGGCTGTGTCTCAGAAGCCACGTGGAGTGCGTGGTCGGCATGAAACTCTAATTGCAGCTTTCTTTGATAAGCTGTTATTTATAGTTTGAACCACCCGATGGTGGGAGTATATATTCAGCTATTGCCGATGGCAGATAATTAGCACAGCCGGCTCCTTCTCTGCTTAAATATCTCAAACCTGCCCCGAGCTGAGGATGGCTCGAGTTTCCCCTCTTCTCTGTGGGTGTGTGCTAGGCCGCCTCACAGAGGCTGCTGGGAGAAGACCCCTCGCAGGGCCGGGAGACCGTGTCCTCCGGAGGTTCGGCAGTAGCCTCGCTCCTTCTCTGCTGTGGGGTGAGTGGGCGCAGGAGACCTGTGTCACCCCCACGTTGGGGGGCAGTATCTCGGCCCAGATGTAGAGCCGGGGTGAGAAAATCTCCCAGGGGAGACTAACTGTGCTGTCGGCTGTCCTTCTGGTTCCCGTGTCACACAGATGGCCGTGGTAAACCCAGAGTGACCAGCTCGTGGGCAGTGTCAGACCTCGACGTCGGGCCTGACTGTGGCTCGTCACAGCGCCCCACAAGCCCGTTTGCGAACCGTATGTTGGCCGGCAGGTCCGGTGGGAAGCTCTGGTGACAGTGCCAAATCAGCCGTGGCTGTTCTTCCAAACTGACAAAGGCCTGCTCCTCACATTCAGGCTTGAGACAGAAGCCACATATATGTTAATTGGTCCCTACCTTCAACCGGTGTGAGATTTGGGCTGGGTCGAAACACCAGATCATCCTCAGGAAGGGTTTGACAGGTGCTGGCCCAGCAAGGGTTTTTTGGTTTTGTTTTTACAAAATTAAGATGATTTTCTGAGTTCATTATGAGGGTTTTAGTTTTATCTTCAGTACAGGAATCTCCCCTCATACTTACAGATGATTTTGTCCCTTTATAATAATAATAAATGGTCTTCCTTCTGTACCTCCTGCCTCATCCTGAAGAAAGAAAATTCCTAGTCCCTGTCCAGTCCCTTTGTGCCTGATTTCTGCGAACTCTGCCATGGCTGTGGGATCTGAGGAGCAGCTGGGGGCCGCATTTTATGTGATCCTGAGAGAGGCCGGGGACTCTAGCCCCCACGGCCAGCCCCATCCTCCCTCCTGAGTCAGCAGCAGGCTCTGTCCATCTTCCCCTCAGCCTGGAGTTTGCACCTTGGTGCGTCCTTGGTGAACCTGTGCATCTCTTGCCCACACACCCCCCGGTCTGATACAACCAAGGGGGTGTGAAAGCACACACACTTCTGGCCCGGAAGAGGCTGATGGGCCACACAGAGCAAGGCGATGGTTTGGGCTAAGGCCTGGGAATGCCTCACCAGGGCCCTAGCAGCGGCCTGGAGCCTGCAGTGGTTTCCAGCCATGGAGGAACTGAGCCGGAGTAGCAGTGGACACAATGGGCTGGCCGTGCTGCTGCCAGAGATAGATTTGGCTTAGGAGCTGTCGCTGCTCGGGCACTCAGAGGCCCTCTCATCCTCACTGCGCTGACGCTGCCTTGTATGGCTGTGTGCAGAGTGGATTTGAGAGTTTGCTCTTCCTGTTTTGTGAGTCGCAGGTTTGGGCTCAAGCACAGTTGCTGTAAGGGAGGGTGATTTCCCTGCTGCTCTGCTGTTGCCCCACCTGCCCGTGCTGGCAGATGGGAGGAGAGGCGAGGGTGTGCTACTCTTACAGGAGGGCCCAGAACAGTGCCCCTGGCTGCTTTCCCTCCCATACGGCTGATGGCTGGGAGGGTTCCCACTCCGGTCCAGCCCTGTACTGCTGCGGAGAGAAGCAGGGGCCTGAGGCGGGCTGAGATCTAACCCTGTGGGCTCACTGTGAGTGGGCCTGTGTTACCAGGGAATGCTTCTGCACCCTTTCTCAGTTTGGAAGACGCTATGTTAAAAAACATACCTTTTCAGTGGCTGTCCTGAAAATGCTGGGTTGACTGGCTTTCTAATCACTGCAACAGAATAATAGCCTGCTACTCCAATCACTGGGAACTTGTACTGTCCTCCTGTGATCATGAATTATTTTAAGAGGGTGGAAATTTCTAACAGATTAAAGTCAAATCTTTCTTTTAATACTAGAAGCAGTACAGGTCAAACCTGTTATGAAGTCAAAAGATGTCTTTTTTTATATTGCTGTCTGTATTTGTAAATAGTGTTTGAAAACCAAGTGCCGACGCTTATGTTATTCATTGGTGTCGATGTAATGGCTTTGACCTGTATTTCAGTGGGCGCTAAGAATGTTTCTGCAATCCTCTGGTCCCTCGCCCGGGCTGGAGCAGCCCTGTGCTTGGTCATGGAGTCTCTGCACACGTGACCGCACGTGGGCACTGGTGAGGCGGTGCCGGCAGAGGCCGACCTTGGTCGTCCTGCCGCGCAGCAGCCGGTGTGTGTGTGGGGGGCGCCTCCTGGTCATGGAGCTCCATCAGAGCGTGACGTTCCAGAAGGTGATTTTTGCTTCTGGCAGGGGGTTATTCTTATGTTGGTTCAACTAATTTCAAGAAAAATCTTACTTAAATTCTGTGTTCTTTTCAAGCCAATGATGGAAACTGGCCAACATTAAAACAAAATTCTAGCTCTTTGGTGAAACCGACGCAGATCGCCAGTGTGGACTGGAAGGACCCGAACGTGGAGGGGCCTCTCAAGCAGGGGGCCGTCTCGAGCCAGCCTATGCCCTTGTCAGCCTTGGGAGCCCCGGAGAAGCTGGTAGGCCGTTTGTCTTTGTCACAAAACACAAACAAGCTCCTGACTGACTACATCCTTATTTAGCCTTCGTCTTTATCTAAGTGGTAGGAGGTGTCACGAGGCAAATTAATCCTGCTGGTGTCCAAATCATACCCAAGTCTGAAGGAGTTCATGGACCCTGAGCACGAGAGTGGGGTACAGGTGTGAGGCCTTTGGTCAGGGTCGTTCACCCTGCTGTTCACCCCCACGGCGTGCCCCGTGCCTGGTCACAAGCCTGTTTGAAGGATTACAAGTCCTGCTTTGTGCTCTTGTGACCGTGGATGGAAACGTGCTTGACTTTTCAAAGGATGACTTTGTCTTTCTTTTTAACACCTAAATTTAGGGCATCGAGATTGGTAAAGTGCCACCTCCCATCCCTGGTGTCGGCAAGCAGCTGCCCCCGAGCTATGGGACGTACCCAAGCCCTGCGCCTGTGGGCCCAGGCTCGACAAACTCCCTGGAGAGGAGGAAGGAGAGCAGCTTGCCCAGGCCCAGCGCAGGCCTGCCCAGTCGGCAGAAACCTGCACCGCTGCCCCCTGCGGCTGGCCCCCACCAGCCAGGGTCCTCCCAGCAGATTCAGCAGAGGATTTCTGTGCCACCAAGTCCCACGTACCCACCGGCGGGGCTGCCTGCCTTTCCAGCTGGAGACGGCAAACCTGAACTCCCACTAACTGTGGCCATTAGGCCCTTCCTGGCTGATAAAGGGTCAAGGCCACAATCCCCCAGGAAAGGACCACAGACAGTGAATTCAAGTTCCATATACTCCATGTACCTCCAGCAAGCCACGCCACCTAAGAAGTACCAGCCAGCGGCGCACAGCACCTTAAATAAGTCGGTTAAAGCAGGTATGGTGGGTTTGCACTCTCCATCTCTCGGGGTGAGGAAATCATACTTGAGAAAATGCCAATCCATATCCTTACTTTTGGGCCACGTGCTGTTTAGGATTAAACTTGATTCTTACATAAAGTGCGGCCTTGGGTATCTGTGTGAGATGGGGGTAAAAGATGACATGCATAGAGCAGTTCTGCAGGTGGACCACAGCTCTCTGACTTCCTGCCTGAGCGCCCGCCTGCCCACATTTCTCAGGAAATCCAGGTCTCGGAAGGCTGGCACTTTGGAATTTCCTCTTTTCCTCCTGCTTCGTAGTAACTTGTACAGGACTTATCTGGGGAGCCGGCGTAGTAGGAGCACTGCCTGGATCTGATCCCCCTGGCCTCCTAGCAGTAGCTGAGCCAGGCCCCTAGGGGGTGATGCGAGGGGGGACGGTTTTGCTGCTTTGGGATCCTTTCCCAGAGCCCACAGGGGAGAAGAGCCCTGGTTTGGGTGCAGGAACATCAGCCCCGGGCCTCCTGGGGAGGCAGGTGTGAGCACAGAGCCCAGTTCCCCACATACGGAGGCTGACGGTGATTCCTCCCTGTGCGGCAGGATCCTGGGCATCTGGGCTGGGCTGGGGCTTCTTCAGACGTTCTTGGCGTGGGCTGCAGAACATTTCTAGAATCTAGTTTGAGAATCCCTAGGTAGGCCAGGCCACCCTGTGCCCAGGGATCTCCCAGGTGGATACACCAGCACTGGCCTGTGGCAGGCCCTGGCCCACGGGGGAAAGGCTTGCCGGGGCCACCGGATGAGCCTTCCTTTCTGAGGTGGCCTGCGTTTTACATCATTTGGCTTGGTCCCAGGTCACGTGGGTTCTCCTTGGCCAGGAAACAGTGAATACCTGTTTAGGGCAGGAAGGCAGGTTTGCAACCTTTTGTTCTTTTTCATTTGAGAAAGACCCAGTTCTGTAAAAACTGATAAACTAGAGACACTCCACCTTCCAGAAGGAGTTGGTGGGGTTCTGTGAGCAGCAGGTTCCTTTGGGATTGAATATGGGGACTTAGCACCCTCAGTGGCAGATGACAGTCTGTAGGAGCCCATCTCTGTGTCTTCAAAGGTGCCTGGTGAGCAGGCCCCAGACGCCACAGGCTGCTGAGGTGGGTGTCCTCTGTGTCTCCCCAGTGTACGGTAAACCCGTTCTGCCCTCCGGCTCCGCATCCCCGTCGCCGCTACCGTTTCTTCATGGGTCGCTGGCCACAAGCGCCTCGCATCCCCTGCCGCCTTCAGAAAGTGCTGAGAAGGAGCCAGAGCAGGACAGCCCTGCCGCCCCCGGAGACGGGGCCGCCGTGGAGAGCCTGCCGCGGCCGCTCAGCCCCACCAAGCTCACGCCCATTGTGCACTCGCCGTTGCGCTACCAGAGCGATGCTGACCTGGAGGCCCTGCGCAGGAAGCTGGCCAACGCGCCCCGGCCCCTGAAGAAGCGCGGCTCCATCACGGAGCCAGAGGGCCCCGGCGGGCCCAACATCCAGAAGCTGCTGTATCAGCGCTTCAACACCCTGGCTGGGGGCATGGAGGGCACCCCCTTCTACCAGCCCAGCCCCTCGCGGGACTTCTTGGGCTCCTTAGCCGACGTGGACAATGGGAACACCGCTGCCAACGGGAACCTGGGCGAGGCCGGCCCCACCCTGCCCACGGCCCCGCTCCCGGCCGAGCCTGCCCCTGCCTCGGATGCCAATGACAACCGGCTCCCTTCCCCTGAACCGGAGGGGCCCATCTGTCCCCTGAACACCCACCAAACGGCTGAGCCTGCCGAGGACGACAACAACAACGTGGCCGCGGCCCCGCCCACTGAGCCGCCGCTCCCCCCATCGCTTCCCCCCGCCACGCCCCCGCCGGTGGCCCCTACGGTGGGTGCCGCCCCGGACCAGGGCCACGGCTCCCTAGTCACCCAGCCAGTGCCTGTGGAGGGCGTGCCTGCGTCGGGGCTGCTGGGAGCAGTGGGGCTCATACGGGGCACGAGGGGCGGTGGCCTCTTACCAGAGAGACAGCCTGGGGGCCCGAGGCGGACCTGAGGAAGGGCAGCCATGTGGGGATCAGAAGGGCAGACAGCAAGGGGAAGGAGAACCTTCTAGACAGAGCCCTGGAGGGAGGGCAGTGCTGCAGGAGCAGAGGCAGGTGGGAGCCCCTCACGGCTGGCAGGGCGGAAGCAGTTGGGCTCGGCTGTGACCCCCCCCACCCCCCGCTTGCTGCCCCTCTCGGGTGCCCATGGTGCAGCCTGGCCCCTGAGGCAGAGACACCCTCCGGAGCCAGGCTGGGCTGGCCTGAGAGCGGGCTGGCCCGGGGTGCCCGGCACCACTCGGGGCTGCGGGTGAAGCTCTGCCTTGGGCTTTCGGCCCTCCCCTCTTCCCCGCTTCCCCCCGGGCCTGCTTCCGTGGGGTCACCCTGAAATCCGAAGCTTCCTCCCGATAGAGCAAACGGACCAACCTGAAGAAGCCCAACTCGGAGAGGACGGGGCACGGGCTGAGGGTCCGCTTCAACCCGCTGGCGCTTCTCCTTGACGCCTCCCTGGAGGGGGAGTTCGACCTGGTGCAGAGGATCATCTACGAGGTGAGTGGGCGGGCGGCCACAGCCCTGGTGGCCCCGGGCAGGGCTGGGGCTCAAGCGCCCTTTGTCCTAGGTGGAGGACCCCAGCAAGCCCAACGACGAGGGCATCACCCCGCTGCACAACGCCGTCTGTGCCGGGCACCACCAGATTGTGAAGTTCCTGCTGGATTTCGGGGTCAACGTGAATGCCGCCGACAGTGACGGCTGGTGAGGGCCCCGGGGCGCTGGGGAGAAGGGAAGAGGACGAGGGTGGCAACTTGGTCCCAGGCCTGCGTATCCTCCTGGTCTTCGTTCTCGCGGGGGTTTTGTTAAAGGCTCGGCCGTGATCACGCTCTTCACGTGGCTGACCGCTGACTGTAGGCTGAGCCTCTGCTGATCCATACGTTTTTAAGCGGCCAGAAAGCCTGTGTGGAGGGGAGCCTCGCAGGCCAGCCGCTGCGCCGCAGGCCCTGTGCCCCGTGGGTCTCATCGTGAGCTGCAGGCAGCAGTCTGCACTGCTGCGTTTGAACAGCTGTTTTTTGTATATTGTGGTGAAACACAGCCGTCACTGTCACAGCCATTGTAAGGGACACATCATTGGTGTGAGGGACATTCGTGCTGTTGCACTGTGAACACCCAGCTTCCAGGCCGGTGTTCAGTCCACTCCCCGCCCGCCCTTTTCAGAAACGTGTGTGTGGCCCAAAACTGTTAGTAGAAGTGAGGCCACTACACAGGCAGCAGCACAGCAGCTGGCGGGGCACTGAGCACACAGCCCTGGGGGCCGCCTGGGACCCGGCCGGGCGTGAGCACCTCCTCTGTCCCTGCAGGACGCCGCTGCACTGCGCCGCTTCCTGCAACAGCGTCCACCTCTGCAAACAGCTGGTGGAGAGCGGCGCCGCCATCTTCGCCTCCACCATCAGCGACGTCGAGACTGCTGCGGACAAGTGCGAAGAAGCGGAGGAAGGCTACCCCCAGTGCTCCCAGTTCTTACACGGTGCGGGGCGGGCGGCCGGGGGTCCCCAGGGGAGAGGCCTGTGAGGGCTGAGGTGTCCCAGGGTGGGTCTCCCATCCTGTCCTGTGGGGGAGGGAAGCTCCCTTCTCCATTAGGCAGCGCTGGGTTTTCCAAGGGCTAAACAGTCACAGGCCAGCCACGCTACACCCGATGGGAGAACCTGTGGGCCCAGCCTACCTTAGACCCTGGGGACAAAGTGACAAATGAAACAGGCAATGCCCTCCAGGCCCAGCTCCCAGGACAGAGGCCTTGCGGCGGGGCGGGGGGGGCGGCCGGCCTTCCTGGGGACCCGCAGGCAAGTCCTGGGTGTGCGCTCACTGGGTCGCAGTGGCTCCGTTGCTCTGGTGGTGAGTGCTTCCCACTGTCCAAGAGCAAGTCCCGCGGCTTCTTTAGTCATCGACTTTTGGGAGTTTGTTCTGCGTGTGGGCTATAAGTTTCACCTTAAGAAACGCCTTTTAGAACAACACTGCTTTGCTTCTGGACACAAAGGTTCCGCCACGGTCCTCTTGCTGGGACGTGGAAGGGACTGTTGGCTTTAAGCAGAGGGTGGCAGCTGGCCTGGCTTCTGACCGCTCCACTGCGGCCCCCGCCGGGCTGCCCAAGGACAGCAGCGTGTCCCTTCTGGTCCTGCTGTGGGGCTTTCTCTGCAGCCCGCCCTCCATGGAGACCTGACCGTTTGCTCTCCCGTCCCAGGGGTGCAGGAGAAGTTGGGCGTGATGAACAAAGGCGTGGTGTATGCTCTGTGGGCTTACGAGGCCCAGAACAGCGACGAGCTGTCCTTCCACGAAGGGGATGCCCTCACCATCCTGAGGCGCAAGGACGAAAGCGAGACGGACTGGTGGTGGGCTCGCTTTGGGGACCGGGAGGGCTATGTGCCCAAAACCCTGCTGGGGGTAAGCACTCAGCGCGGCACCTGGGGCCACGTGCCGGAGCCAGCTGTCCCCTCTACCTGCCCGTGGGTGTAACCCGGGCTCCAATCCTGCGGGCTGGAGACTGCCTTTCTCCAAGCCTCATGGGAGCCGTGGGGGGGGCATCTGCCGGAGCCCCCCGACAGGGGCTGCTCACAGAGTGCTCTGCTCGTGGGGTCGGTAATGGGGTGGGGGACAGGGCGACTGCAGGCTGCTCCTCTGAGTTGCACTGATGGTTCCTCAGACCCTTGGCAGGGCCGTGCCTTTGCTCTCATGCTCCGTGCCCAGTGGGGCTGGCAGATGCTTTCGTGACACAGTCACTGGACACCGTGGGCCTGCCAGGCACCTTTAGGGGCCTTACAGACAGTGTCAGTGTCGAGTGCCCTGAGAGGAAGAGGACTGGGGTATCCTGGGAGTTGGGAAGTTCTCCGTAGGAGGGTGACAAGCTGAACTTCGGCCTGAAGGAGCTGGTGTGCGGACTTCTGAGGGCAGCCTGGCCTCTGGAAGGGGTTCCTGCCCAGTGGGTCGTCCCCTTGTCCTAACTCCTGTCCCTTGCTTCCCAGTTGTACCCACGGATCAAACCCCGACAGCGAACACTGGCCTGAACTTCCCTTTGGAGCACCACACGGGCTTTCCAGCGACGAGGAGCCACTGAAGAGATGATTCTGCCATTTCCCCCCCCCGGGAAGCTGAAGCTAGAAATGGCTTTACTGGTGCTCCCTTTATCAGACAGCGTCCACAATGTGAAAGCCCGGCAGGTTCTAGGTGAGGCCCTTTCTCTGGTCTGCCCGCAGCTGGGAGAGAGACATTCGCCTCCAGGAAGACCGACTTTTGCCAGTTACTGTAAATCCAAATAAATACCCAGCTTTCTAAACAACTGCCCCTGTTGCCAGTAAGAAGCCCTGTAATTAACCCCTGGTCGGTTGCCAAGGAAGACGAATGCTGTCACACACTTGGGCCCCAAGGCCGTCATCCCTCATTCCCGGTGTCACCCCAGCCCCAACAATGAAAACTTGCAGCTGCCGTGAGGTGCGTCCCCTCGCTAGAGCCCTGCCCTCCCATTCACTAGAAATCACAGAAACCCGGGCACCTTTTTCATCCTCACCACATGCGTTTCTTCATCACCAAACGAGGCCCTGTGTGGAGACTTCTGTCCAGCAGTGGTGCCTGGTGTGTGGGCTCCACTTCCTGTTCCAGGCCTCGGTCTAGGTCACCGACAGGCCGTGGATGCGAGGGACCTTAAAATCAAGTGACACGTGGTCAGGAGTCTCAGCACAGCACTGCCTTCTCTGCAGCCTTGTGCTGCCCCGGTGTGGTCCCCACCCCTCCCAGCGTGGACGTGCAGCCCATGGGCCAGGAGGCGGTGGACGCGGGGATACCTGCAAAGTCACGGGGGCGGCTATGGGGGTGGGAGGGCAGGGGCCCCGGCTCCCCGGTCCCGGCCGTGACACCATAACCTGCCTGGTTCCAGACTTGAAGCAAGTAAGGCGCTTCCCTGAGGCGTCAACTGTACGTACAGGCTTTTATATACCAAAACTATTTTTTGACTAAACCACTCGAAACTGTCAGAACCATGTTGGAAATGTTTTTTTCTCTCATTAAAATCCAGGCCCTGAGCTTATTTTCCATGCGTGAGTCTTGTGTGTAATTTACGTACAGACACGTGTAGGTCCTTGTTGTAGAGCCACCCACCTTTAAGCGCTGATTGATTGTGCACCGTGTGCTGATGGGAAGCGAACACCCTGCAAGGCAGTCTCTGCAGATGCCGTGTAGACGTGCACACGGTAAACTGCTGTCTCTCACCGGAGGCTGTGACTGAGTCTTGTGTTCTGGAGCCAGAACTGAGCTGAGCGTGAAGCTCAGGTTGTCTGGACACAGCGAGGTGAGGCCTGATCCGTATTTTCAAAATAGGTTTTAATCGTAAGCTTTATATACAAATTGTTGTACAATTATTTTAATAAAGGGAAATAGTGAAAAGTACAAAACACAAATCTTGTTCCTTCCCCTGTGAAGTAGCAAAGGTTTGTTCATAGCCCCAGATGAGTGACACATGAACGGGCAGTCTGTGAGATGCGCTCCAGTACAAATCAGGCCAAGTCACCACTGCCCAGATCACTTCTGTGGAAGAATTAATGGAACGAACATCAAGGGGCCAGAACCATCTAGTAAACTTGGGCACTCATAAAAACATGGTATAGATTATGCTAAAAAGATTTTAGCAGTAGTGTAGCTCAGTCTCTCCCACCCCCAGTTAGGCATCGATGAGACAAATTCTAAAGCACGAGGTGTTCTGAGCATTAATCAACTGTGTACATATTGCACTAGGTAAGCTCCGAGTACTTGAGTTGCGTTTCCAGCACGTGTAGGGTTAGTTGCGCCTGTGCGTGCTCGGCGAGCAGGTGCTGCTGCCCCTAGAGGACTGTCCAGCCCACGTGGCGTTACTGGTCCCGAGATTCGTAGAGAAGCTTGGCAGCCTGCAAGGTGACCAGAGATAAATGCGTGTGCCTGGCTGAATCCAGTGGGGGCACCCCGGGTAGGCAGGCGGCGGGCCTCCCTCTGGGAAAGGTGGTGGGCAGTGCTCTGAGCAGAAGGGCCAGGCCCACGGTACCTTGTGCATGGCCACCAGCCATGCTGTCGCCTGCCTTCTGCTGCCGTTTGCGTCCTCCCCGGCCGTCAGCTTCAGCTGCGTCACGCCCTCCACCCCTGGCGCCGTGTACTGCAGGGTCATGCCTGTGGCCCGCGCGTTGCCTCCTGGAGTGGGGAAACAAGGTAAGGATGCCCGAGGGGACGCTGAGCGCCCAGGGTGCCGCCGGCCCTGATGTGCTGCCGGGGCGCCTCCTCCCCAGCCCTGGTGCTGGTCTCAGACGGAGGCAGCCTGGTGGCGGGGCCTGGGCTAGGGGCTGCCCAGCGGACGAGCCCAAGCTCACAGGCCCGGCACCACGTGGCCGAGAACCCAGGGAGAGGCGCGGCGCCGTTGGGAGGGCTGCCCAGGCTGCACCCACCCTACTCTGGAGAGCCAGGGTCAAAGCAGAGGGTACAAGTGCCACCAACACCCCACTAGTACACGAGCTCCCGAAAAGATGCCGTGTGGGGTCGGCCTGCTGGGACACGGCCGGCCTTTGGGCTGTGACGCCATGGACGACGACGGGACCCCAGCACCTGCTCTGAGAACCAACGGCTGGAGGAACAGACGGCCCTTCTGTCACGACTGCAGTCAGAAAAGTGGCAAGGAGACCAAGCCTCACAGCGGAGTTTACCTACCTACAGCTGTTCTACTTTGTGACTTGGGAGGAAAACTCCATTGTGAGCCGTTACCCAGCTCAGAAGATCCCTTCCATCAGACGCAGGTCTCAGAGTCAAACGCAGGCCGGCAGGGGAGCAGGTGCTGGGTGGGAGAGGCCCGGCCCACTGGGAGGGTCGATCCGGCTGGAAGTGCCCCGCTACCCAAGGCCTGGGACGCCCCCCATGACCTTTAATAAGCCACGGTTCGACCCTGGGTGTCAAGCGGCTTGTCCCCGCCTGGGCTCCTTGCAGGAGTGCCCCCCGCCCCCGGGCTCTGGGGCAGGCAGGCTGTGCTCTGCCCACCCCCTGCTCCCATAAGTAGACTTCTACTGGCCCAGGCCACGTTTCCATGGCTCCTACGACCGCTGTCGCATTTTGAGTCTGTGGCCGGCAGAGCTGCATGCAAGTACCTGGGCCTCGACAGAAAGTGCGCGACGCTGCTGTGGCCACCGCCCCCGCCCCCTCGGGAACACATTTTTCTGGACGTTTAACGGTTCCGGAAGCCTGGGCAGAGCAGGGCTCACTGTCCTCCCAGCACCGCCACAAGGGGGCGCATAGCGCCACCAGCCCCCGGCCCCACCCACACGTGGGAAGGACACGGAGGGAGGCCCCGGCCTGGGTGGGGGGTGGCCCCCCGCTTCTCCGGACCGTGACTTCCGCACCTTCGACTCAGGGCCCAGCACAGGTGCCGCCAGGCACAGCCTGTGCTCGGGGACAGGGGGCAAACGCTGAGCCGGCCCGCTCCCCTCGCCACCTGCGAGCCCAGGAGCGCAGGGAGGCTCCTACAAGAGAACACGGGAGCGAGCGCGCTGCGGAGGGACGGGAGCGCGCTGGGGAGGGCCGCCGCCCGCGCCCCCCTCGCGTGGCCCGCTCAAGCCCAGTGGATGCCCAGGGGACGTTAGGAAACACTGCGTAGGGCTCCCCTTGGGAGCGCAGAACTGAGCAAATGAGAGATTGCTTCACTCATGCTTTGTCTGCCCGTCTTAGACCCAACTGTCCTTCAAATCAACCAAAAGAAGGGAATGTGTGTTTCACAGAGAGCCTCGGCGTGGACCCCAGCACACAGCTGGGTCTGAAGGAGGCGCAGCCCGGCGTGGGGGCAAGGAGCGCGGCGGGGAGCGGGGAGCTGACCTTCAGGGACGGGCTGGCTCCCCGGGAGGCTGGTATAAGTGTGCATGTCTTTTTCTACGTCAAGAAGGTAGGCAGGCAGGAGAGAAGAACAAGCAAGAGCCGATCAGAAAACAGAAAGCAAGACGGACTAAGTCACGTGGGTTTCTTCAGCGCACTGCACCCAACGCGGAACACCAACTCCACTTCCGTGGAAGGACAGCTTCTGAAGTGCGAAAGTTTAGGTGGAAAGATCCAGAACAGGCTAAGCGCTCCGCAAGCTCCAGGAGAAGGGTCGTCCCCGCAGACCCTGGGGGTCGTGGTGCTGGGCGGGCAACGATCCAGGCATCGGGGAATCTGACCGATGCCAGCTGCCGCCGGAGCCTTACCCCTGACCCGAGTCCGACAGGAAGTGAAACGTACGGAAGGGCAGAGTCCCCACTTGTTTTACACGTTAAGCCCCATTCTCCTGGTGAGCTCCTACAGCCACTCACTAAACACAAGCCCCTGCCATGGCTGCGCGGGACGGCCCACAGACCTCGAGAGCCACCCAGGCCGGTGCCACACGGCACTCACCTCCAGGAGGGAAGCCTTCCGTGAGAATCTGCACGGCAGCAATGCGCATGACCTCGACCTCGTGGCGGCTGTCCCCGTCCAGAAGCAGGTACCTGCAGCAAACGAAGGGTGTCCACACCACGTCACTTCAGGCTCGGAGCGACAGAGCGTCAGTGCCGCGCAGCACCCGCTTTTACCTCTGGTTGCTGGAAAGACGACAGACCATCGTGTCTGGCTTCTCCGAGTTTCCAAAAGTTACCAGGAAGGTGGCTCCTGGGGATGAAAACCAGACATGAGGACCCGGCAGCTCCCTTCTCGCCTCCCCTTCCAGGCCAGCCCACCAGGGGACACGCACAGAGGACAAAAGGAAAGCAAGACAGGTGGCAGCTCTATTCTGTGGGGCCCTCGGCTGAGGCGGAAAGGCCGTGACGGGGTTGGGGTTCAACAGTGGAAATAAAAGGTGCTGCCTGGGGCTCCCAGGGGCCTTACCTCCCAAGGGCCTGGATCACAGGGCGCCGACCCTCCCCCAGTGCTCAGGGGCCACTGGGCAGCACCACCTGCCCTGCTGCCAGGAGGTGGAAGGGGCCTGCAGGCCGGGGGGGCTAGGCTGCCAAGGCCCGGGAGGGGGCAGCAGGCACGGGGAAGGGCAGCAGGCACGGGGAGGGGGCAGCAGGCAGAGGGAGGGGGCAGCAGGCAGGGGGAGGGGGCAGCAGGCACGGGGAGGAGGCAGCAGGCAGGGGGAGGGGGCAGCAGGCACGGGGAAGGGCAGCAGGCAGAGGGAGGGGGCAGCAGGCAGGGGTAGGGGGCAGCAGGCACGCGGAGGGGCAGCAGGCACGGGGAGGGGCAGCAGGCACGGGGAGGGGCAGCAGGCAGGGGGAAGGGGCAGCAGGGAAGGGGCAGCAGGCACGGGGAGGGGCAGCAGGCAGGGGGAGGGGGCAGCAGGCACAGGGAGGGGGCAGCAGGCAGGGGGGGGGGCAGCAGGCAGGGGGAGGGGGCAGCAGGCACGGGGAGGGGCAGCAGGCACGGGGAGAGAGCTGCCCTCTCGCCACCACCATGTCCCAGGACGGCAGGGGCCGCACCTGGAGTCCCAACTATTGGTCCCAAGCCTGCAGCAGGCGCCCTGCAGAGACAGAGGCCAGGCAGGGCGTCACAGCATCGCAGCCACCACACGACAGACACGAGGCCCCAGGTGCTCACCACTCAGGAGCAGCTTGAGCTGCTTATCGTAGAACTCGGCCTCCCGGTGGGACACCAGGGCGCACTCGGCGCACTGCCGCACGGGGTCCACGAAGCACATGCGCCGCAGCGCCACCTTCTGGCTGCAGCACTTGTCGCAGAAGCACTTCCCACACCGGCGACAGTGGTGCTGCAGACGCGGGGCAGGCAGTGAGGACCCCCAGAGACCCACGCCACCGGCATCCACGACCAGATGCCTCGAGGGTCCCAACGGTTTCCCAGCGGCCGGAACCCTGCCTGCTGACCGGGCTGCCACTGTCCCCGAGGCTCCGCGACAGACAGCGCCCACTCCTACCCCCCACGCCCCCTCCCGCCCCACCGCAGCTCACCTTCCTGGTGAGAAAGTCAAACTTGGTGTCGCACTGCATGCACCTCGGGCACTAGGAGAGAAGGTGACAGGGCGTCAGGACCCGGCTGCCAAGGCCAGGTGGTCAGCTCCTCAGGGAGC